TCTCCTCGGAGACCCTGCCAACCCGCGGTTGCGACCGTCGCGTGACATTGTGCATTTGCTACGGGGCATCGTGGCCGACGAGAACATGCCAGACGAAGCGCGAGCATGCGTATGGAGTACAGCGGCGTCATCCAGCCACCGTTTCTCGCTGCAACACGCGGTCGACTTTGTTTTCGTCACGGAAAGTTCAGCCAAGCGCATCAGCAAAGCTATCAGAGATGGGATGAGCGAGCAGTTCTTTATTCTGCCTACTTCCGCTGGTAGGAGAAGGCACGTTGCTCGCGCAGCGGCGGCAAATCTTCCCCCATCTCTCGAAGAGACAGCAGATCGTCGCCCATTCTCCGATTCGTTCTTTGACTCTGGTAGCGAGGGCGAGGACCAGGACCGACCTTAAGTGTCAGCGGAAGACGGCGCTAGTGTCGCTGCCGAGATCGACGCGCCGGCGCGCCGGCGCGACTCTGAAACGGATCGCCACGCCCGCATTGTTTCCGATCTCATGGAGTTCCCCGACGTCCTTGATTGTTATCTTTCTGCTCGTTCGCGTCAGAATAACCTACCTACTCAACGTGCCAAGCGCACCAGGCTGGACAGTATGGAAGAACCTGCGGAGGGCAGTCGGAAAAGACCCAAGTCCCAGTAACCGCTCTCGTACGTAAGCTGCTGTAGGTACTGCATCACCTTCTGTACACAGGAAAACCGCATCTTGTGTTCTCGTTTAACATCATGAAGCTTGCTTTGCAGCTGATAGGGCTGAATACTGGTATGTTCATCACTGAAAACCCACAAGTTCCACATAGACTTTACACTAGCTCGAGCAGGAAACTCGCAATCCATCGGTACAGCTGACCATTTCCCCAATTCCACGTTTTCCGTGATATCTGCTGCACTTTGAGAAAAAGCTGTAGTCGTGTTTGCACTACACGAATAAATGCCACTTACTACTGACGGAATTTTGCTGTGATATTAGTCTGCACCTCATCAATTCTAGAGTCGATATCACGCAGCGAAACCGGAACAACCACATTAACATCAAAGTTCTGCCGCTATTCACTGACAATCATTGGCGCGACACTTACAATTGTGTTCCAGTACTGAGTGTATATTTGGCTGGTTAAAGAGCTCAGAAAATGGGGCCGACGCACTGCAAATCTCTCCGAACTAAAGGCTAAACCATTCATTGCACTGTCTAGGCTTACTGGTTGCTTGAAAGATGGTACCAATAGCGCGGTTGGCAGACCGCTGGCCTAGCGCCAAGTGGTGCTTGATTCTACAATGCCCTTTTGGGCAAGTTATAGCGGGTGAACTGTATAAAAAACATCGACGATTAAAGTGTCCC